TGTCTGATAGAAATGAACCGAGCAGCGATGATAATGGAAATGGAGTTATTGCCAGTAATGAAAAATAAGTGTGCAAGAGTATTGTATATCAAGCAGTCTTGTTGTAATTATAGTCCATGATCAACTGCCACCACGATCCAACACCACGATGGCAGGGTTCAAATACAGGACATTTTGGCTTCATTTCTGAATAGTGGGTGGAAGTGGGGATGTGTCTTCCATCTTTATTTACATTGTATGGTCACCAGTAAATGTTACCTCCATCGGAGGAAAGCAGCTGATGGAAACCATGGTGATGACGATGACTGAACTAGAGCATTACTCAACTTCTTTCTTAGAGTTGCTGAGTAGGTCTGTCTTCTCACCTTTGTGTTGGTAGAGGTAGTTTCTGGTTGTTCCCCACTCCCACTTCTTAATCAGTTGAATGACTTTCACAATGAGTTCAGAGACTGGGGGAAACACATTGAGAACAAATAGATGCTTTTCCTTCTCATTTCAATCAKGTAAATAAACAGTACTTTCACACTGACCATGAGTTTTGAAAGCTCCATCCTCCAGACTCTGGCTCCAGGTGTCTACTTCCTCCAGCAGCTCCACTCTCCACTGCTGAAAAATACTTTTTCTTTCCTCCATATTCTTTGACCCCAGCAGCGTAGAACGATTAACATTAACCTTGTCTGGAAAAATGAGAATCTAATAGGCACCGTGCATTCTTTATTGTATCACAAGAATCATTGACAACATTTCTCTCTGGGTGTCAATGCAGTTTAACGAATGAGCCAAAATAACAGCATTTAATGGGTAAAACTATGTCATCTGAGCAGGACCATCACCTTCTAGTATTTTCTGCAGCATGTTCAGTTCAGAAAGAGCAGTCGGATCCCTTGTGGAACTTCTGATCAGGTCCACCAGTTTGTCAAGGGTGTTGTATATACGAAAGAACTCCTCAGCAGCACTGTCTATATGCCCGTCCACTGAGCCAAATACACACACACACAGAGAGAGCAAACGTGTATGACGTTCAACTCACACATGTTTTACTGTGACTACTTGTTTTCCTGTGTGGGTATAGAAATGTGATTGT